CACTGGCGGCAGCCCGTAAATATGTTTGTTTGTTTGTATGCATGTAACTATCTACGTATCTATGCATCTATGTATCTATGTATCTATGTGTCTATGTGTCTATGTGTCTATGTATCTATGTATGCATGATTGCTGTACATGTACACATAATATTGGATATGTAGATGTACACACACACACACTTCTCTTTAAGTATGTAGTGTGCTATCACCATCTCTTGTCTGCGCCATTACCTCCACGGTTTCGGTATTCCTGAACATACCGTGTCATCCGTCTTGGAGCACTCGACTAACAGCATCATTTCAGCCTCGGCAGGAGTCGGAGTAGCGGCGGCAGAGCTTGCCGGCCTGTTCGTGCCACATTTGCGGCATTGGCCTCCAAGCCGTAGCAGTCTTCAGTGAAGCGCAGTAGGCAGTAGACACAGCTCCCAAGCTGGGGAGCGAACTTCGACTGGCGAACCTGACAAGCCAGAGGCGAGGCTGGTCGAAAATGAAATGACCATGTGCTGGGCCGCAGCTAGGTTTCCCGCACAAGACCGTTGCAGAGCGGGCACGTCCAGTCTCCTCTCGGACAGGTCAGTGGCCAGAACATCAAAATGCTGCGCTGACCGCTGTCGCCTGCCCTGGTGCCATCCTGATTCGGTGCTGCTGGAGCTTGAGCGCCTGGACTAAAGCAGACAAGGAAGAACTCCAGATTAATGCTGTCCTACATCGTCCAGCGAATCCTCCGAGTCAAGTTCAACACAAGGTTAGGTTCATGTGTAATTTGACAGCGTCGTAGATTGATCAGCACAACGTCAAGCTAGTAGCCAACATACCCAAGCTTTACCATGCGACTTTGGCTAAACACTCTAGTCCCTGGTCGTCAGGTCGTGAAAGGTTTGGCCTAGCTAGCTGCCTTCAGCTGGACTGCGCAACTACAATTTCCGCCCCCGCGAAGCAATAGCCATGACTAAGACCAAGAGCCATCGCTAAACATAGAAATGAAGCCAGGCTCAGGCAAGCTTCGGGCAACGGAAGAAACACAAGATTTCGTGAACATACCGGGGGTGACCGAGCATGTTGAATTGGAGATATTGCGAGAATAGATGTATCTTCACTGAAGCACTCTTCCCTGCATGCACGCTCGAACGATCAGAGTCTGCCTGCCTGAGCCTGCATATGCACCAGAGCTCTTGGGCGCTCCACACCTCCTGCAGATGGCATTCCTGTAGACACCGGGAGCTAGGGCAACCCACCGCTTTGCAGTAAAGCTCTCGCCTAGCAAACTGCAAATCGCCGCATTTGTCGCAGGTCCAGTCTCCAGCACGGCGCATGCTTCCCGCACGGCGGTTGAAGTGGGCAGAACGTGCGTGCTGCAAAACTCGGGCCAGAAACCGAGCATTTAAGAGCCGATCATGGAAGAAACACTACAAGAATCTCAGACTGATGAAACGACAGTGATGGCCTGTGACTGGTCCCTGGCATGTGCCTGAGTGGCCAACTACGAAGTACAACTGAAGTCTTTGGCCGTGGTGCGACAGGGCCTTGGAAGCTGCAAGAAATAGGCGGTGTGCGATCCATGGATCCATGGTGTCTACTCTGCTTTAGCATGCAACACAGCGTTCCGCATTGCAATCGCCGCGGGCTACTCATGACAAAATACGGGAAGCTTTCTAGATTTTCTCGTGCGCAAAAGAGAAAGAATGAATTATGCTGTGTGGATGGATGGATGGATGGATGGATGGATGGATGGATGGATGGATGGATGGATGTCTGGCTGTCTGGCTGGCTGGCTGGCTGGATGGATGGATAGATGGATGGATGGATGGATGGATGGATGGACGGAGCTATCGTCTGACTATTTAAGTAAGTAGGTCGGAAGCAAGAAAGAAAGAAAGTAAGTAAGTAGGTAAAGTAAATTAGTAAGTAGGTCAGTGAGTAAGTAAGTAAGTAAGTAAGTAAGTAAGTAAGTAAGTAAGTAAGTAAGTAAGTAAGTAAGTAATTAAGCAAGTAAGTATGTAAGCGCGAGTGAGTAAGTAGGCGAGTAAGTAAGTAAGTAAGTAAGCAAGTAAGTAAGTAAGTAAGTAAGTAAGTAAGTAAGTAAGTAAGTAAGTAAGTAAGTAAGCAAGTAAGTAAGCAAGCAAGCAAGCAAGCAAGCAAGTATGTAAGTAAGTAAGTAAGTAAGTAAGTAAGTAAGTAAGTAAGTAGGTGCGGTTAGGTTAGGCAAGGTAAGTAAATCAGCGAGTGAGTCGGTGAGTGAGTCAGTGAGCCAGCGAGTGAGTGAGTGAGTGAGTGGGTGAGAGGGTGGGCGAAGGGAAGATGGTGCACGCGCGTGTACCTATGCCTGTATTTATGTTCGTATGCACGTCTGTCTGTATGTGCCTGTACATGCTGGTATGTATGTATGTACGTACGTATGCACGTACGTATGTATGTATACACGTATGTGTCTATCTACCTACCTGCCTGACTACCTATCCATTTAAAGCTTATTTATCTACAGACATGTAGGTTCTCTGGATGGATACATGGATGGATGGATGGATGGATGGATGGATGGATGGATGGATGGACTGATGTATAGTGCACCCTAAAGTATGAACAAGGGCATGCAAATCTTCGATGGCATACTTCATATTCATGTACACGTGTACCAATATACTTATAACTTAAGCCCATGCATAAACCCAGGCATCCTTGCAAGAATTAGACCAGCACTGGCCTGCCACCCCAAGAGCATTCATTGTTTCGAAACAACCGCTCATCAGTGGACCACCAGTATGTTCTGAAAATGAAGTCCTATGACCAGGCCGCGCACTTCACTCCGAGCCCTGCGCGGACCAAGCATGGGCTAGTCGCCGAGCCACCGGAGTCAGCAAGACGTCCTTGGAGATCTCCCAGCCTTCGCTGCGCTTTCGCAGAAACAAGTAACATCAATCCTCGCCGAGACCGTAACTACTTTAGTTAGAAATGTCAGCAAACACGAGCACAACGGAGCCCGAGAGCAACCACCAGCACTTCCCTCTTTCACATGGTGCGAAAGTGGCAATCCGAGAGGGTCCCCCGAGCGAGTCGGGGCCAAAGGCTCCCAAAGCCTCAGGCCCCGCTAAGACGTCTGAGTCGAAAACGGTGTGGCAATGATGTCTCTGCCGAGAAAAGCCCCGCCTCGTAACGAGCAACTTCACCGCGCACCACTCGGGCCGTAGGTGAGGGAGTACCAAAAACTAAAAGGAACCGGATTCCAGCCCTCCCAGTAGGCGGCTGACGCGGAGACGGCGGTCCGGAGAGAAGCCCTGGTAGTCCGGATGCGTAACTTCGTCAGCCCACTGGTTGAAGTCCCATTTCACGTAAGAGGGTGCCCGGGTGCAGCCGTTGCGGTGGAGCAAGAGCATAAGCTCCATCACATCCCATAGGTGCCGACTTTGTTGACTAACCATTCCTTGCCCAGCTTCGCAACTTGGAAGCGCCATGCCCTGCGCAGCACCTTTAGCCGGCGGTGGACCTTGGTGACGTCCGCCTTGAGGATGATCCACTCGGTTTCGCCGTTCGGCCTTTCCCAAGTATCTGGAACGGTCGGCGCACAAGGGCTGCTTGGGGTGTCGGTTGCCTGGGTCGCTTCCTGCCCTGGGATTGGATCCCGAGTGGCCACCGCCGCCATCAGCCAATGGACCACATGGATGCAGTCCATAACGAAGTGGTCAGGTGTTTTTCCGGATGTGCTCGTTGCTTCATTCTTGGAGCCATCAAAGATGGTCCTTATCTTGTCAGACTCATCGATGCCTGCTAAGGTACAACGCAGAGTTCATCCGGTTGGCAGCCGCAACATTTAGCTGCCTCTTCGGCGGCGTGGGGGCCTTCCACCATGCCCATTTTTTCGTAGGAAGGTCTTTCGGATCTCTTGCATGTGCTTCTCCGCGGAGGGGCGGGTAGTTGTCATAGCCTTGGGGGCGGGGGACCGGGGGGGGGGGCGGAAGAGAGTCTTCTTCCCATGGCTGTCCCCGACGCTCTCCAAGGGGAACACCAAACTCCACTCCCAGTCTACGTCACCTCCAGCGTGGGCAAGTTTGCTGATGGCTGCCCCGGGACAACCGGTTCTGGGAAGAGGTGTGTCTTCTCACCTTGGCGAATCGAAAGAATGATGGTGTCTTGCCAAGAGGCCGCCAACCCACACGTACCGACATTGTCGGCTCCAAAACATTGGCAGAAACCCACTTGCCCTCGATGTTCATCTCCACCAGGGGCGGCACCATGTCCACAGCCCGGCCTTGCGATTGCACAGAAGGCACTTGTTTGCCCCCCAAAACAATGTCGGGCACATCTTGGCTTGCTTTGGGTCCAGGTCTGGCTGCCGATGCCTTGGCGGCCCACTGCGGCGGGTGTCTTGAGAAGGGCCTCGTGCTGCCGCTGTCTCTCCACGCCTCCCCGGGTACGCACACGAATCCAGCCAGGGGACGGCTCGGGGCCAAGGGCTCCCCACCATCCCCCAGGGTCATGTTGACACGGGGGCGGTTTCCGTGTCCTCGCACGTATCTCAGTCTCCGGCCACGCAATCAAATGGTCCGCCTGCCCGGCATTGTCATCATCTCCCAGGCTGGGGCGGGCCACCGTCTTCTGCATCTCCTCTAGCTTGGCATACACATCGTCCCTGGTCACGTTCTCCACGATCTCCGCCTCGTCGTCATTGGCATCTGTCGTCACGGGCGCCAAGATCGCTGCACCTCGATCTCCCGCAGCTCCTTTGCTGCCGCAAATTCCTCAACAGCAGTTCAAGCATCAGCGGGGCTAGCTGGTGCGGCCATGGCGAGCAACGGCGAGCGATGGGAGGGTTTCCGAAAGTACGTGTGTGGGACACAATCAGCTTGAGCCAAAATGGCATTCGCCGCTGAGTCAAGCGTATTCCTGACATAAGGCATTGCACGGGCGCAGGCCGGTTCAATTAGCCGTAGTAGACCAAAGTTTCGCCCCTGAGGCAAGAAGCTGAACAGCTCGTCGAAGCACAGATCCACGAGGTGCTCCAGGGGTACTTCCTTTTCTGCGCGCTCTGATCCCTCCTCACCTCTTGATCCTGGAAAGCTGGGAGGCCGGCACGGCGGACAGTGAAGTGCACGATCGGCGCCTCGTCGATTCGTTCAGAGCTCCCCAAACTGATCTCTGTCTCAGATGTTCCTCACGTCGCGTTCCCAGGTCTGACAACAAAGACCTAAAACTTTACCGGGATGGCCCGCTCTCATCAGTTCTTCTGACGGAGACTGCGAGCCTCAAGCCTTGAGCTATAAGGCTTCATGTTGTGAAGCCAGATACCGGAGAGAGGTCGGAGGCTGGGAGACTTAAATCTTCTGTGAGTTTCCGCATCTTTGTCGGAAGCAGGACGTCTACGACGCTGCGCATGCTCACAGCCCAGCAAACGCTGTACACTTTCTGGTTTTAAAATGAGAGAAGCGGAGGCATCGCCCGTCGCACCTTAAATGGCTTCAGTGATCCGATGCTAAGCATCTTCGGGCACCGGTCTGGCTCCCTAAAACGTGCCCGAAAAGTCCGAAGTTTTGTCGAACATGCCTGATTGCAGCGATTATAAATCTTCAACATGTTAAACTCTTAGACTTAAGACTCGTGCAGTTGAAAGTCAGGCTGAGCTTCACTAGCATTCTTGCTGCCCATCATCGCTCAGAGCACGGGTTCACTCATATCATGTCCTGTAAACATGAAGCATGGAAGTGCACACATTCTGACACATTGCCAAGCACGTCAGGAAGGGCGGAGAAGAGTCAAGCAGCGAGTCCTGTCCGGCGGACCTATTTTTGGAGGAGTCCTCACCGGCACAACACAGCACGCTCCGGCTCCGTAGCCCAGGAAGGAGAGATGCACAGGAGTGCGGCTGCGCGGCTGGCCATCTTTGCAGTCTTGGCATCCGTGAAGTCCGGCAAGGGGGGCGCGTGACCTTGGCATGTCACGAGGAAGACGAAGACGAAGCCCCTTCCCTCGTCGAAAACCGCTGTGCCGCCGCGGCGCTATATTCTTCAAGGATGAAAAACTCCTCACCGTCAATCTCCTGGTCCCCATTCATGTCCTGAGCCGCATACCCATCTGCGCCTGCATCCCTGCTTTCTGCCCCCGAGCAGGAGCTGTCAAGTCCGAGGAACAACAAACATGAAGATCTCCGTGACGGGCCCGTCAAACTGCGTTGCCTCAACACCTCACACCGACAAGTCACTCGGAGGGATTTAGCTGTGTGGGCGGCTTCTGGGGCGCCCCACACTTTCGGAACTCTTCGAAGGAGATCGCGCCGCTCTCGTCCTGATCGATGGCTTCGAAGGCCTGGGCCCAGCGGCTGAGAGTGAGAGTTCCGACGCCTGCTCCCGGCCTTCGTCAGCGATCCGTAGAAGATCTCCAAGTCATTCTTCAGCCTCTGCTTACGGCGATACACTGCTAGAATCCGGAATTACAAAGCCAGGGCTCTCATACATGGATTGTTGAAGCTCGCGCCAAACGCGCTCCAGCGTCTCGAACTCCCGCCGTGAGATGTCGCCATCATGTGAGGTATCCAAGTATCGGAACACGCCTCAAGGATGCTGCTATTTCTAGTTGCCCTAACCGTCACGACTTACAGAGTTCTGCTCCTTGCGCCAAGGCACTGGACAAGGCCTCCAACTGTCCAGTGTCCTCGCTCTCGGGCTCTGTGCCGGAGGGACTTCCAGGTAGTCCTCTTGAGCCTTAGATTGAATCATTGAAGGCTTGACCTGGAAGCAAACCCTTAACCCTAAGCCAACGTAACAGGGCCATCACCCATCTTGGCTCCAAGGAGCCCAGCGCCACTGACATCGTCATCGTTCGCATCTTGGGCCTGGGCACAATGGGCTTCGCTCCATAAGTGTAAGCTCTCTCAGCTCTGCTCAGCTACGCCCGTCTCCGAAATTTGGAGCACTTGCCTTCGCGTGCGGCAGCAGCCGGCTTTCGCTAGGCCATCCACGAACTCCTGTCGGGAAGCCCCGTCTCCCTGTCACAAGCAGGCTTTACCCCTCCTTGTGGTTCAGCATGTTGTCTGGCTGCGTGTTCAGGGCAGTAAAGGCTGCATCAGTGCTTTTCCAGTTGCGGATCATGAAGACCACCACCTGGCCCCAGTCGGTCGAGCCCGCTTCGACTGACTCTCAGACTGAACGCACTGAGGAACCTTGAGGACTTCCGGTGGCACATCCTCCAAGCACGACCTGGGGCTAATCCAGGGACCCTTGCGAAGGAGCTGACAGCCAGGCTTTGCTTCAGTTCTTGTAACATGTGTCCCTGGCTGAGGGGATTTGTTCGACTGTTCTCTACACTCCCCATGTGCCCAGGCGCCAGAAGTCGAAGGCCGTGTCCGGCAGGTGTGCCCAGCCCCCTATCGTTGCTGCAAGCCGCCTTCGGACCTGCACAGTAAAATTCCTATGTGCTCTCTCTTTCCCATCTTGTTCCAGTGGCTCTTACATACCACAATCTTGATGGCCAACAGACGTTTACCGGCTTGATGGTACAGACCATGCTTCATAGTGTTGGCACATCTCCGGGCTACGGCTCAAGGACGAGTGATCCAACCGTTTCGGTGCGGGGACCGAGCCTTGAGATTTTGGCGGTCCACCGCACAGTTGTAGGTGCCTGAACGCGAGCTTCAGAGCTGGAAGAGTTAGGGACACCGAGGCCGCCGAGGTCATGGCACTGCATGATTCCCTGGGCCGGCACATTGTCCCACTCGGCCCAGGAGTTTGGAATGCCTGCAGGAAGGACGGATGGGACGAGCGCAGGAGAACACGTGATCGGCTACTGAGTACTGTGCCTGCAACGAAAGGCTGGAAGGCAGGGGCATTTGGGTTCGCATCTTTGTCCATCACGGGATTCTTGATGTTCCTAAGCCAGCACGGCAGGCGGAGGAGCAAACTCGGGCAATGCTCTTTCAGCTGTTAAACCTCCGAAGGAAAAGAGCAAACAAACGCGACCCTCGCCCTAGTGCTCAGAGCAAGGCTCACTGCATCTTCCGCATTTGACAGGCGGACGAGTGTGTGCAGGCATCGTCGCTGTTCCCACTGGGCAAGGTCGATTGTGTGAAAGGACATCTCCTCGGGGTTTAGTGTCTTGGAGCTTTCGGTTCGGGATGTGAACCAGCCTGATGGCGAAGCGCGAAATCGAGGTTTCAGTGTATCTGCAGCGAAGGCTCTGGCTGCCCGTACGGGAAAAGGTTCATGTAGCCCAGCCTTCTACTGTCTTTTGCAACTGGCATGCTGCTAGTATAGCTGCTGCAGCTTCGAGGACACCCGTTATGAACAACTTGGCACCGGGCTTTTCACTCAGGCTCTTCCAGTGCGGTTTCGTGAACTTTGGTTGACAACCTCGGTCCGAGGAGATATGCTCAGGGAGCCGTTTCGGGTGCTGGCGCAGGCGCATGTGCAGTTGAGAAGCACTTGCCATTGATGGGCCAGTCCACGCATCGCAGGAACATCATGCAAAGCACTGTGGCCCGGTCATCTCCTGGACCATGGCATCCGGGAGTATCCCGGAGGTCACAGCAGTCACAGCACATGCACATCGCGTAAACTGCACAGAAAGGGTCGGTGCAGGAAAACGCACAGGAGGTTTCGCAGCTGCCGCGAGAGGATCCAAACTCTTGAGCTGATGCCCCGAAGCGCCCAGATCGCCTGCGCCAGATGTCTACAGCCGAACCTAAACCCAAGACTCGTGGCCGCGAATTTTCCGGTGTGCATTTCACCCCTCCTGGCTTATCTTCAGGCTGCTCTGAGGATCCTCCTGCAAAACGTCTCAGGCATTCCAAAAAAAGCGTCGTGCCTAGGGCCTAGGCGACAACAAATCCTCGACTTTCATGTCTTCCTTCTTCTTCGGCGCCAATTCAGCCTTCGACTGGACATACAGGCCACACGCAGCGACATTCCCCTCGGCATCTTCGGCTACCCTTTCATGCCAGTCAGACACACCTGCAGTGCTGCAAGCACATTCCCCCACGTCTCGATGGGGATTGGCTTGGCCGCTGCAGGCGGCCTCGAATCAGAGGCGCCGAGATGAGGCAAGTACCTCCCTTGATCGGACATCAGCAGGCCTGTACAACGCCACAAAGTCAAAGGTCAGCAGCCCTTGCGGAGGGATGCGCCAGTCAGCATCGGAGAAGCTGAGAGATTTTCCTTGCCGATTTGTGCGGGGCAGCATCCGCATCAACCCCTTCGAGTACTCTTCTTTGCAGTTTGCTCCGGTCTGGGAGCTGGCGGAAAATTGGGGAACAACCCTGCTTTCACTTTCGGAAAACGACCAGGGTGCCGTCCAGCAAGGCATTCCGGAGGCACTTCCTTGGAGAAAGCATCGGCCCCAAAAAGCCGTCACCCCATGGTAACACCCGACTCCGACAGCTGAGAGCTGATTCAGAGGGGGACCATGGGGGACCCTTTTATAAGCGGCGGCATGGGGAAAAACTTAGCGGGAGGGGGGTAGCGTAGTATATTGTACTTCCGAGAATAAGCCTTGTTATGACTTGACTCAAGCCGCCCCTTGCCATCGATGCTGACATCGACGAGGTTGGCTTTCCGCCAGAGGTGTAGCTGCCATCGGTTCAGCAGCAGGAGCTTCTGAACGACACTTCGAGTGGGAAGGTGTTCCTCGCTGTAGCGGCTCGAGGCTGCATCGGAAGGGCTAGGGTTTATTTACGGCTGTGGAGAGGAGTACATGGGTCGTGAGAAGAAGGGACAACTGGATGAGAGCAGATCCCAATCGCAACCTCGTCACAAGTCGCAGGGCATAATGCCCTGTGGGGTTTTCCAGATTCAGAGACAGTGGGGCCCTCGCAGATCTTTCGAAATCCAGGATGTCCTGCAATTGCTAGGCAGCGATACAAAGTGCACAAAGCTTCCTTCGGCAGCCTTGATCGAGTCGGTGTTTTGGGCCGCATGCAGCAGAGCCCGGGGATGGATGATGGCGGGCAGCATGCGGATCAGCGTCTCTTTGGCCTTGTCCCCTGGGACGAAGAGAGAGAAAGGAACCTAGAGTCCTAGTCCTAGAAAAGGTCATAGGCCTTGGTTCATGTAGATGGCCATCACCTGACAATGGCGGTGGAGTGGGCGTGGAATTCCCACGCCTCTGGCAGGATTTTTTCTGGCCTTGCCTGGTCTTTGTTCAAGTGAAAGTCCCTCAGCAGCGCCATGAGGAAGGCATCGAAGAGGGGCCCTTCCATAGAGTTCACCTCACAGGTCGAGATGCATGGCGAGCTATGGGACCTCACCTGAGAGGCAGCCACTTGTTGCATCACATCCTTCAGGCAGGTTGTGCGTTATTCATAGCCCCCCCTCGGGGCACTGAGGATGGCGAACCCGGCACGCAATAGCTTCCTTGCTCAATACAAGTGTTAAGGCGGGTTGTTCTGCCCCTCCCCTTCCGCATTCGCTTGCACGGCCATAGCACATAGCAAAATACTAGTGATGAAGCCGTCGTATCGTTCGACGCAGCTGGGCGCATCGAAGTGTTGCCTCGCCGACACAGAAGTGCGCCAGCACTGGCCAAGCAGTCTGCCGTTTCGAAACTATCCTTTGGTGTGTCTAACTGGTCTTCGAATGACGTCGCCAGCACACCTTGAAGTGAACTCTTCGCATCAGGATGTTGGCTTGGGCATGCTTGGATTTCCAGCAGGACATAGGAGTTCAGACGAGTTCTTGAATCGGGCCTATCTTCTTCGGGGGCTTCTGAAATTAGGAACATGGTATATAATCGTACCCCTTGCTGCCACTACAAGACTACCCGCATTGGTGAGCCAGTGGGGCATCCTACAAGTGATCACGTCACATGCTCTGCTTCCTTCTAGGGCTTAGGATAGCCTGCAAGCGTGTCCGTCCAGCGTGCAGGCGCACGTGATGAGTCGTGTAAATGCTGCAAGGCAGGCTGCATGCCACTAACAAATTGTTCTACCGCTTTGACTACAGTCAACCATTTGCACTCAAGTCATGCGCCTCTTTGCCGGTAGAATGCAATGGCGCAGCATCGATTTCTTGGCTTGCGACTCTTCATGCAGTTTTTCGCTTACATCGGCAACGCCGTCATAATTCCTACAGGTTCAGCAGTCCTGAAGCACGCATCGGTCTCAGGGGCAGGTGCCTGTCCTTCCTCGCCCTCCTCAACACTCAACGCCAAAAGTCCCAATTTTTTAGATCACTTCATGCCCAAACCCCGACATGAACTGCGGAGATCTGCGGACCTGCTCCTTCGTGTACCTACCCCAGTCCTGCATTCATAGCCGCCAGAGCTTCTCGGCCCCGACCCGGAACCCGAGGTGAAACTGTGAAGGCACCTAAACCCCGGCAGCCTTCAAAGCTGAAAGTGCGCAGGAAGAGGCAGGGAGGGTGCGCCTTTTGCAGAACTGCAAAAGTCTTCTTCTTGGATGCCCATGTCCGCTTCCTCCAACGAGGCAGGAAACGGGGTTGAAATGGGTTCAAGGGTACCTCCAAAATCATCGAAGGTAGCTGCTGTCCTCTTCAGCAGCATCCTTTCTACAACTTCGGAGTAGAGGACCGAGTTGTCCCCTTCGTCCTTCAAGAAATAGTCGTTCAGACTCAACCTGAACTGACGCTTCCTTTTTAACGATTGCTGTCATCTACCATGCTGCTGAGCCGCACAAAGCTCAGGATGCCGGATGTAGGCACGTTCCAGACACCGCGCCTTTTGCGCACGCCATCCACCTGGAGTGCTCAAGCAGCCAAGGATCGGGTCAGCAGAAAACTATCCAAGGCAAGCACGTTGTACGGCGTTGGAGGTTGTGTGGAAGAACTGGTGAGCATGGCACCTGGGTGAAGCTTGGAGCTCAATCGTTGTTACATGAGAGTGGTACCATCTGTTCAAATCATACTCATGACCTATGACTCATGGCTGTGCTGGCTGCACAACACATGACAGAGTGATTGATCAACTCATTTGAGTACTCCTTTTTCTTGGTCTCACTCAAGCGCCCCTGTACAACAAGGCGTATACCCACTGACACGCAGCTTCACGGTGAGTAAACGGTGGTTGGGAACCCGGTAAGTCTACTCCGGCGCAGAGGATATTGAACACTGGCTGCAATGCTTTTTGGCATTTCTTCACGGGAAGCTCGAAGTCCTTTTATTGAGGCCTGCTGGAAGCTCGCTCGGAAAGATAGTGCAAGTCCAAGGTGCTCTTGATGTATTGGCTCCGGCTGCCACCCAGCTGTGCCAGGTTTGTGAGCAACAGCCGGAAACAAGTACGCTGACCAGCCATGGCCATGTCCAGTGAGTACTGCCCAGACGGATCCTTGCAACCATAAATGCAGACAGACTGCAGCACGATCACCGACATTCAGTTTGGGCACAACATCGAAGAGGCCCAGTGCCACGTCGCCGTCCGAAGCTGTCTGCGAGCCACAAGAGGTGAAGAGAGTCAGTTGAAAAGGCTAAGCGGAGCGATGCGGAGCAAACTGTCTGGGATGTCGTATAATGGTTTATTTTTTTGCGCATACTACGGATAGTATATTTTACTATAGGACAGTATAGCGTGACTCGCAGGCGGCCTGCACATCCTCGAGGAGGAGGTTGCAAAGCTCGGGGCACTGCTCGTTGGAGAGGAGGCGCAAACTCGGTGAGCTTCGACGACTCGACTAAATACATGTCTAGAGTGCACCTCTTGCGTAACGTACCAGAACGTACCAGACATGCAACTTCTGGAGACAGGCAGCAGTGCGCAGAGCCCATTCTGCCCCAGTGGATTCGTGGAAACATCCAGCAACTCCTTTCATGAGGAGACAGTCACCAAGTACGACGATCATCGATACCTGTCTACCACTAGCCCAACATTGCTATGTTGGCCAAGAAGCCACTGCTTATGATAGTCTCATTCTAGATTCTAACACAAACGCTCGATCATCTCTGATCTGTAACACCAGCGCAGCCACGAGCAGACAAAAAGCGTTCAGCCCAGGGGAACAGGATACCAGCAGTAGCTGCACATACCTGAACTTGAGCCAGCGGCGATAGTCGGATGATTCAGGAAGCCATACTCAAGCATCAGCGCTGAACTTTCGTCCAACTGGTTGTCCTAAGCTGCTGCATTTCCGCCGGTGACTCAACTCCTCTCCGTCAGGTTTACAGAGCAAGCCTTGCCTGCCAGGAATCCGACAGATCCAAGAACTTGAGGCACCTATCTGCTGGCAGCTGCTCCAGAAAGCCGCACATGGGCACCGACGCCTCCACGAGGCCACAATGCTGCAGTTGAACGTTGTTGCAAGAGGTCAAGACGAGGATAGCTCAGCCAATGCCATGCGACCAAAACTTACAACAATATGGCACATGAGCTGCCCACCATGACAGACGCCGTCTTCGCCAAGCCGAGATATTCCAAACGGCTGCCTTTGAGAAGGCTGTTTCCCAGCACCTTGGCCATCTCCGTGTGCAAAGGCCCTCGGCCCTCCCAGAAGGTAACTCTCAGGTCGATGCCGTGAATGCCTCCGGGTCGAAATTATTGTACCCGAGGTCCTCGACCGGAGTTCTCTGCGCTGATTAAGTCACAACAGAAAACAAGATGCGGGCGAAAGGCCAGCTTCAGGATCCGAGTGTTTCGGACCAGGCTTGGGATGATCTGCAAGGCACGGAAAGGCACTGCACAGTGTTCTGCTGTGACCTCTGCACTGCGACCCTTTGCCTTGGTGGAGAGATCTGGGCTTATGCCCGTCCTTGCCAATGACCTCAGCTTTAGCTTTGGCCAAGCTTTCGCCATTCTGGTCCTCCCTCTGTCGTTTGAACCAAAGCGGCACTTCTTGGAGGCGCTCGTGCCTCTCAATTGCACCAGCGAGTTTCTGATAATCCTCAGAAACAGCTGGCTCCCCAGAACATCCAGAACAGGCCCTCTGTTTTCAATTGCGGCAAGACTCCGCGATGCTGACATAGACTCCCGAGATATCCAGGCGCTGGAGGTTCACCATCGGGCCAAGAATTAGCTGTGTCAGGAGCTGCATTGCCTCACCTCTCCACACTACGTCACTAAGTTCACCCCCACCCCCAAACCGAAGCCCGCGGAAGCTCAGAGGCCGACGGCCAATTTGGATGCACTTGTCCAGGTAAAGCGCCGCCAACATGTCCTTGGCTGCGGGGCATCGCGGGCCCCAAGGGTGCCGAGAGCTGGTGGGCTCAAAGCTCGTACCAAGGGTCAGCAAATCTGGCAGCCACACATTCCAGTAGCGGGCAAACAGATCGGTTCGTAAGCCTCAGATTTCCCTTCTGCCGTTGAGGACTCCGCTCTGCAGTGCCAAGCCGAGGCTCTTGGAGTTCTGGCCAAGATCGAGTCTTTCCAAGGTTCCTCGAAGCAACGAAAGCGAGGCATGCGAAGATGTGTGAAGGGGGCTGCACTTACCCGCCTGTGTAGGGAAAGGCAGCAGCCAGTGCCAGCAAGTCCTCATCCGAGTAGCCCAGGCCACGAAGATCGAGGAATGGGAGTTTCCTTACTTCAGTACACGTAGGCAGGTCACACGCAAGCTGCTGCAAGACGACATCATTCCAGAACGTTTGAGACAGGCCACTGCCCCAGGAAACCAACGACTGCCTGCTGCGGCTGCAAGCCGCAATCCTGGCATACCTGCAATGGGGAATCACGAGAAGACCCGCCCGGCACAGACACAGGTATACTGTATACCCTCGACCAAGCTGCCGCAATCTTCGGTTCACAAGGCCAGCATGCTATTTTACGGGCAATCGGAAAATCTCTACGCCAAACTGCTAACACCTGCTAACCCATGCTGGCCAGTCTCGACGGATGAAACAAGTCGCAACTCGTGGTAATGTCAGCGTTGTGGGAAGAGAAGGACGTCTGCTGGCATGCTGTTGAGCCACCGAAAACTCAACCTAATGTCAGAGAACCGCACCTTCGCGTAGCGCTGCAAAGGTGGTGCTGTCTTTTGGCCTGCTTGGCCGCCTGCCCGCACTGCACAACGAAGCACACAGGTGCAATTTCACTAGAACAACAGCTGCAGCAATCATCAGATTATGAGTTAGAACACTTGCGGCACAGTTGCAGGACATCTCCCGTGAGCCTCGCTCTGCTGACCAGGGCCTATGCAAGGTCTCCAAAGGCTCGGAACGTGGCTCCTGTGAGGTGCGACAGCACAGGAGTGTAGAGTCCGTCATGCTCTGCCTACGCTGTCACCAAAAGCTTGAAAAGCCTTCTTGCCTGGACGGTCATGCTGAGCTTCAAGGATGAGACAGGCGAAGCAGCACGCTGACTGTCATCTCAGCGGGCGGATCTTGACACAAGCAGACATTGCCTAGAATTGCCGCGTTGGCTTGTCAGCTAAAGGCTGGGCTCGCGAAAAATATTGGTAAAAGTTTACGACAGATGGAATCTTGAACCGAGGAGTTCCAAAACGTTGATGTCCGTAGGGCCTGTCCCAGCAAGCTTTATGCTTTGCTTGGGAAACAGCTGAAATGCCGGTTCGCCTTTCTCAAAACTCCAATCAGTGAAACCTCCGGACTGTCTGTGTATGTATCAACCTAGTTGTGTTTGTGTCGACGACCTCAGGTTGAAATACTTCGAGAACTTGAGTTAACTAGTCCCACGGCCTTTGTGCAAGTTGTGGATCATCTAAGTTGTAGGATTCTGTTTCATTCCGGCCACCACCTGCAGGCTTGACGAGAACAAGGCTCTCGGATGAGAGTGGTTGTCACAACTTTCAGTTAATGCTCGTGCTTGCATGTGGCTTTCCTGGCTATGCACTCCAACACCGAGAGGCCGCAAAAGCCACCGTGCCGCTCGTGGCGCCAGGTGCGCAGCTGCACCTCAGGCTACGTTTGGGGTTTAGGGTTTAGGGCTAGGTTAAGAGGTTGCGAGTTGCTTTGACCAATGAGGCCATGTGACCCAGTGATGGAGGCCCGGATGCCACTTTGAAGAGGGTTGCTCGCCTCGCGCTCAGGATTCACTTCCGACAGTGAAAATATGTCCGCAAACACGAGCACAACGGAACCCGAGAGTAACCACCTGCACTTCCTTTTTTCACTGCGAGCGGAAGTTCGAAGGTCCGAGAACGTCCCCCGAGTGAGTCGGGGCCAAAAGCTCCCAAAGCCTCAGGCCCCTCCAAAAGGTCGAGGTCGAAAACCGTGTGGCGCTGATGCGCCTGGCGAGAAGGTCCCGCATCGTAAGGAGCGAGTGGGGGAACTCTCGGCTTCACCGCGCACCACTCGGGCCGTAGGTGAGGGAGTACCAAAAATTGGAAGGAATCGGATTCCAGCACTACTGAAAGAAGGTGAAAGCTTTTCAGTAGGCGACTAACATGGAGACGATGATCCGGCGAGCAGCCCTGGTAGTCCGGATGCATAACTTCGGCAGCCCACTGGTTGAAATCCCACTTCAAGTGAGAAGGTGCCAGGATGCAGCCTTTGCGGTGTAGTAGGAGCATGAGCTCCATCAGGACGGCCGCCGAGGCTGTCGAGGAGGGAGTAAACATTTCCCTGATTGTCCGAGGAGGGGAATGATGGGCAGGCGCTCGTCCTGGTCATTCTTTTCGAAGAGGAAGGCCGTGAGGACCAGAGTTCCAAGCATCTCTAGCGCCGCGATGCGGCGTTTCGGAGACCTTTGGACGAATGCCCATGGGTGGCGCTCCTCAACGATCTTGTAGCGGAACCAAAAGACGGAGGACTTGTCCGGCGGCTGGGGGCCAAGGGCGCCCCTGCCGGAGGCCGCCGCACCCCGCGCGGAAGTGCTCCTCGTCCAGGGCGGTCTCAGTGTTCTCGGAGATGCGGGGGGATGTGATCTCACTCTCGGGCCACTCAATCTCACCTGGTCCGCCTGCGCGACATTGTCATCATCTCCCAGGCTGAGGCGGGCCACCGTCTTTTGCATCTCCTCCAACTTGGCATGCACCTCGTCCCTCGTCACGTTCTCCACGATCTCTGCCTCATCGTCATTGGCATCGGTCGTCACGGGCGCCAAGATCGCGGCATTATCAATCTCTCGCAGCTCCCTTGCTGCCAAGCATCAGCGGGGGTAGCTGGTGCGGGCATGGCTAGCAAAGGCGAGCGATAGAGAGATGGCTTTTCGAAAATACGTGTGCAGGGACACAATCAGCTTGAGCCAAAATGGCATTCGCCATTGTGACTGAAGCGTATTCCTGACACAAGGCATTGCACGGGCCAGGCTGGTTCAATTAGCCATAGTAGATTTTGCATGCGAGGCTAACCAACAGCCTGTAAACCCGCATACGATGCCACACGCAGGCAACACACGAGCTCACATCTGTAACATCTTGAGCTCTTGATGGGAGCTTTCTGGATGGCTATATCTGTGATTCGAGAACGGGGCCGACACAATGGCCGGCAGGCGTATTGAACGTCCACCCAAACACACACTTGCCTGAAGTCCGGAAGGATGCGAGAGCTTCTGAAGAGATAGAGACCCTAATCCACATATCCCAGAATTTCCCTCATCCGCCCGCACCCTCAACCGGGCCCGTGGCCGAATCTAGAGAGAGGAGGGAGGGGAGAGAGAGGGAGGAAACTACCCCCAAACCCTAAACCCTAAAACACTCAAACCCGAAAGCCCTAAAACCTTAAAGCCCTGAGCCCAGTGTCCTGCCATCTGCTTCACAGCCCGAAGCGGCTCGGAGATGCGCTCCGCCTCCCGAGAGCAATGTGCCCTTCAATTGAGGAATACACCTTAAAATAAGTGTGGCCTTCATCTTATGGTGTCTTCTTCTTCTTCGGACGTCAGTGCCACGAGATTTCAGGTTCAAGATACACTCCTTAACTAAGGGTTCCTGGTCCAGCGCACTTGCCTGATTTCGCTCAAGACGGCTGCGAACACTCGTGGACTCCCGCGCCGTGGCCGCACCTGACATCGCATGCAAGCAGCAGTCTGAACTCCAACGCGCGATCTGAGGGTATACGGTCATGACAGGATCGAGCCAAACATCGAAGGTACTTACAGATTGGATTGAACAATTCACACGTGCGGCTTTGAGCAAGGAAAGCCTCAAATGTAGTGGTCTTTTCACTTGCTTTTTTCAATGCAACTGGGCATGAAGCACTGAAACATCCGAGAGGCCAAAGCGAAGTGGCTTGACTTCCTCGCAAAGGGAGATTGTCTAGCAGACTGCGGCGCTCAAACGTGCCCAACAGATGTCAACAACAGCCAGGGTTTTCAAAACATGTCTCCTGTTTCGTCGTCCGCGCGCTGTGGGGTGTGTGCGGCACCGGTGGTAGTGCAGATAGCGAGAGGCCAAGCCGCTTTGGGCAGTGGTATTCCTGCATTCATAAGAGATTGTAGGAGCCGCTTGCAACATGCTTAGAGTCCTAGAGACGCCACGGCCTGTCACGAGAAGAAGTGGACGTCTGCCTCAAGCTGGGCTTGCATACACCACACCCTCTCCTTCCCAGAGCGCAGGAGTAGAGCGCAGTGGGTGGGCGTCTCGATGCTCTCCAGCATCTGTTGGCACTTTTTCTGATCCTCAAGGCCGGGCTCTACTCTACACCACTAAAGGGCCCTAAAGCCCTACAAGTAAAGCCCAATTACCCATCGAAGGTCCTGAAAGCTCGAATATCGTCGAGTTGGCGAGTATCTGCACGCAGCTCAGATGTCTGACGCACCATGCAGCTCAGGACAAATACAAAAAAAAGGCACTGACAACAATGGTCCTAGTTGGAGTATGAGTAGCAATAGTCAAACAATCATAATCAACCATACTAGTGATCGTTGTAGGAGTATTCGTCGTCTTCGTTGCATAGAAATCGTAATGTCGACCCTCACAGCCCGGCCTCTCAGCCAATGGGTTGCGATCCTCCAAAAGAGCTTGTCGTCTCCTGTCCACACGAGATGCTTATAAGCCGATTTGCGATGAACTGGAGACGAGGGACGTCAAGAGCGGTGAGTGTGGCTCCATGGAGGCAACTGACCTTGGAGCGTCTTGCACCAAGGGTATCGGATGCTTTACGGAATGCTTTGCGCCAACTCGAAAGACAAACAAGTTCTTTGACGCAGATCTCTTCTGCCACTCAGCCCACAGAGCAGCAAGCCCTCTCTTTTTCTTTCTGGGCTTCTTTCTTTCGAAGGCTTGGAAGCCGAGCACAAGCCCCCAACCCTCCCCATCAGGCCCTGCGTGTGTGAGTGTGTGAGAGTGAGAGTGAGACTGCGAGCGAGAGTGGGAGTGAGAGGGAGAGAGGGACCGAGGGAGAGACTGAGAGAGTGCGAGAGTGAGAAGGTGAGAGCGAGAGAGAGAGAGAGAG